ATGACCATCTAATTTGGCTTTTTATTATCCTGTTTTGACATCCCATAGACGGATAGACTTATCATAACTACCAGAAGCTAATGTATTTCCATCAGGAGAGAAACAGACTGATCGGACAGCATATTTTTGACTATCTAATTTGGCTTTTTATTATCCTGTTTTGACATCCCATAGACGGATAGAGTTATCATTACTGTAATTATAAAGATTTCCACTGCTACTTGCTAATGTATTTCCATCAGGAGAGAAACAGAGTGAATTCACACACTCTTTATGACCATCCAATTTATTCAACTCATTGATTTTCAAGTTCTTCCATTTGCAATTGAATAGTTAAGCACCATTCAAATTTACTCCACTTATGTCTACATTTTCAAATTCTGATCCATTTAAATTGCATCTTACTAAGTTTCCTCCAATTAAAGAAGTATTCTTGATCCTTATATTCACTAATGATTGATTTCTGATATCTACGTTCATGCCTATTATTAAATTCAAACCATTTGATCCACATTGAATAAACTTACCATCTATGCTTGTGAGGAGAACAATAAATTTGATAAAATCTATGATTCCTTTATTATCTTTCAACTACTTTATTAGATCTGATCTAGCCTTTTCATAAGTCTTTGAAGAATAGTCATCCTTACTAAATTTATGATACTAAATATTCCTCAGGACATTTGTGATTTTATTTACTTGCTTCTTGACATCCTTTATATTCTCTTACTTGCAGTTTAAAGATTAAAAAAACTGATGATTATTTGTCTTAGACAAGAATCCAATAACATCTGAAACTTTCTCTTTTCTAATTATATCAAGAATCTTCTAATAGAGAGATTCATCTATATCCTGAATGTAGGATAGCATCTCATAAAGATCTTCCTTAATTTAATAAACTTCAACTTCTTCTTAAATAGGCTTTGTAGTAATAGTAGATGGGTTGAATTGCTATTAAAAAATCTCCAATGTTTCTATCTTAATCTTTTCATTAAAAGACTTAATTTATTATCCCCATAAATTCTTCACTTTTTCCAACTATTTCAAATAAAAATTTTTCTAAGCATTCCAAACACCTAATTGTTTTCCTTCTAATATTTGTATCAATTTCTCTAACTCAGTATTTGAAATTTCAAAAAGATTTGTATTCTCGTTAATGAGATCAATGTATGATTTATTTTACAGTTCCATCAGATTATAAATCTATTTGATTGATTCTGATAATTCTTCCCAAATTTTCTTCATCGTACTCTCAATTTGAGACAGCATTGATTTAACAGCCATACTTTATTTGGTTAACTCTTATGTATCATCAAGCTTAAAGTTTTTTAATTTTTGGATCGCCATATCTTGAAATTCTTCCTTTAGCATTGACACTTATGAGGGGCTATACATATCGAAATGATGGGATTTTGAATATGATAAGTGCAATTCATTATTAAATAATAATGAATTTCTATTACTCTAGCTTCCAGTTATATACTGCAAAATCTATAAAAATATCTTGTGCATTTTAGTAAAATAGAAGTAAGGACTTTGTGTAGGTTTGGAATTGATTGTAATAGATGTAAA